TCTTGAATGGCTCTGTGTACCTTCTTTCATCCTGCTCTAAATTCTATGACCAGAGGAACAAATTTGAAGACAGTTTGGGTGAAATTAATGTATCTTCCCAGGGATAGTAATTGCTCCTTCAGGGGCTCAAACACGATCTTTCTCCCAGTCTCATTTGAAACAGGCTCAGCCATCCACGTGAGGTGGACCCTGGAATTACCTGGGCCTCTCTTTAATCTCCCGGCCCTGGAACTTTTCTACATAAAACTTGATTTTATCCTTTATCCTGTGACATTTGCTTTGGCTATTATCTCCAGAAGTTAAACTGTGTCAAAAAGGTTTTTTAAAAATATGAGTGTAATGCCTTCACTGATTCATTGTCATGTGAATAAAAAGACTGCTTCAAAGCCTGCAGCAGGTATTAAGAGCAGCATTTCTTTGCTGAATCCAGGTTGGTGAATCTTAAAATGTTCTTCTTTCCCATCACCTCCATGTTTCTGAAGTGCCTTTCAACAATTTGTTTTAAACTCTTTGTCTGTCATTTGGGTCCCTCTGGACATCACACATTAAATTCAGAGAGGTATTATTCATGCCTCCCCAGGGTAATCTCCATTCCTCTCATACTCACATTTCCCAAACACCATTTTCTTTTTCTCTAATTTAGTGTTGGGTTCCTCTGGGATTTGTTCCCTAGAACCTAAGGAAATGGGGAAATAGATAGATGACCATTAGAGTTGCTTAGCTATTTACAGGGGTTCAGATTTCCCTAGTATGTTTTTTTTTTTCCAACAGGAATAAAGAACCTCTATGTGATTTAATTTCTTCTTCTTAAGCCTTCTGAATTTGATTTCCCTACCTTCTTTGATAAGAGAAAGGGGATTTTATTATAAAAATATTAAAAGAGATATAAAAAAGAAATTAAACAAATCATGACATTTTAATTCATCTGGTCTTTGTCCAGGCCTTCCAGGGAGGCTGGTTTTTGACAGAGAGGCTGTTTCTTAGAAAGATTAAATCCCTGCAGGGCAAAGTGAATGCAACAGTTCCCCAACCATGGATTTCACCTGAGAAATTTGGGGGACACTGTTCTATGGTTTTTGGAAGTTATGAAGTTTTTGAAGCCCCTTACTGGATAAAAACCTTGGAACATAGATGTCAGAAATGGAAAATTATTTATAGTTGCAACGTATTTTGGCATCTTAAGAAAGAAAGATGTAACAGAGATGTTTGTGCTATAAGCAAACATGTTCTCCCAAACAGGACATATCCCAAGGGAAGAAGAGGTGTGGGAGGCAACAGGAGGCAAAACTGTAAATCAGGAAGTTCTAAAGAAGGAAAGGTCTCAAGATCATGGAGAAGCCCTCTTCTCAGATTTCTGATTATGTTCCTTTGTTGATGCCAGGAGCTGGTCTTCCTGCATAGATCTGGGGCAGAGGAGGCCAGCTCTGTGTGTATGCTAAGGTGAGCATGCACCACAGAAAAGCTCCCCGTCCAAAAATATCACTTTGTGCTTCCTTAGTGTCACTTCCATTTTACACCTGTTCTTTGAAGTTCATGGAGGTCGGTGCTTTTGACCATCCATATAAAAATTTACTTTTAAGAAAGGAGCTGGCAAACTTGATTATACAGAAGTCTTACTTTACCCTCATCCTCATCCCACATTATCTGCTATTTAATGAGCAAAAGATTTTGAGCAAAAGAACCATACAACATTAGAGTTTTCATATTTCAAGTTTGCTTTGGTTGTTTGCCTTTTTGTTTTCCATGTGTCAATCATGTTTGCTCTCTAATGTTTTAGCTCGTTCCTCCATAGCAATTAGCTTTGGTTGGTTTACCTTATTTTTATCACATTTGACATTTTTCCAAAGCTGCTACCCCAAGGGTAATGAGTTTTCTTCTACCTAAATCTCTTTTAATGTCCCCATCTCTATCTGCTTGACCTGGAAGTCACTCATCAGTTCCTGTGGCCATGGGCTAAAAGCCATCTCCTAAATCCAGCCCTATCTCTCTGTGGCCCTCAATACATTTTGGGTTTCTGATAGCAGAATGTAGCAGTCAGTGCTATTTATTGGTAAATACTGAATGATTCACTCTCACAGAAGCCATTAGATGGTTCCCTGTTGTAAAGGTATTAATACCAAGAAGGAGACAGATGTTCAAGATGGAAGGTGGCTGACTGCTAAGGAGAGAAAAGGGGGAAGTAATTAGAGAGCTATGAAATTTTGAAGCAATAATAGAATTCTCTGGTACATTCATAAGTAAAATAAAAACCAGTGCTTCTCATCTCTGACTGTACTAAAGAATCTACCTGGTACTTTTTGTAAAATATTATTTTAGTTGTAGATGAACACATACCTTCATTTTATTTATTTATTTTTTGTGGTGCTGAGGATCAAACCCAGTGCCTCACACATGCTAGGCAAGCGCTCTAATACTGAGCTACAAGACCAGCCCCGATCTGGTACTTTTTGAAATACCGATGCATGAGTCCATGCACAGAGGTTCTGGTGAAATTATTTGGAAAAGGGTCTGAACATCATTGTTATTAAAAAAATCTCCTCCAGTGAATGTAGCATGCAGCTTAATTTTAGAAATGCTGATCTAAGGCTTAGTATTTTCAGATTATTTATTTATTTATTTATTTATTTTAGTATTTTTAGGACATAGGTAGAAAGGCTCTTCAGATAGAGAGGAAGTCAGATCCTGTCTTTCACTATACAAATCTGGACTCCCCATGTGAGTTGAGTGGTGTTTTAGAATCTAGTTTGTATAAGCCTCTCAGGTGATGCTAAATCAGATGATGCTGTGGTTTAAAGATGTGCCCTGAAATTTTAATTTAATCTTAATCCCAAAATCCATATGTTAAAGGTATTTGAAAGGGGGCAGGCAGTTTTGGAGGAACTTAGGATGGCCTAAGGAGGAGCTCATGAGGGTGGGGCTTCATGATGCCATTAGTGACTTTGTAAGAAGAGGAGAACCCTAAGCTAGCCTGCCATGTGGTCTTGCTGTGTGATGCCCTCCACTATCTTTTGATGCAGCAAGGGGCCCTCATCAAGTCTGAGCAGATGCTGGCACCATGCTCTTGGACTTTCCAGCTGCCAGAACTGTGTGCTAAATAAATCTTATTCTTTATAAATTATCCAGTCTGTGGTGTGCAGTTATAGCAACAGAAAATGGACTAAGACAGATGGTTCATGGGCTTTGAAAAAAATACTCTTTGATGAAGAGAAAAAGGCATCTCCTTTTTATGCCACTATTATTTATGATGATCATTCTATTTTGTTTAAGCCTCCTATGAGGAGAGCATTCTTATACCAGTTTACATTTATGGAAATCCTTAAAGGAGATTAAATAACACAAAGCTAGCCAAAGCAAAGTCTACATCACACATAAGTATTTAGTTGAAGGACTAGGGACAAAGAGTTTTAACCACAAATCCTTTGTCCTTAGCTTTCTGTGCTTCCTGCGGACCTACTAGCTGACCTGCAAGGGTCATTAGCTCCTGACTCACAGGGGATGAGTGTAAGAGGTGGGCTGAGAATCAGAGAAAGACACAGCTGTAGTCACAGGCTGGCCTGGCAAGGAAAGGGTCTGGCATGACCCTGTGGTCAGAAGTTTTTCCAGCACTGCAGATTCTGAACAATTGTAAGGCCAACCATTTTTCTTGGAAGAAAAAGCAAATTTCAGAGCAAATTGAAAAGCCTCCCTGCTTTAATTCTTGTTTTTCCTACTGTCTGTCAAATGTTGATCCTTGTTGTCCCATAAGGAAAAATCATTCTCTACCGGTAAAAAAGAATTTGAAAGCTTCATAAACATCATTTGTGACTTGCACATGCCACCAGATGGGTACCACCTCAGAGAGTGACAGTTTCCGAATGGAGAAGAGTCGTAAATTAAGGGAGTGATCTTGTGTTAGATGTGTCTGACTTCTGTGGGTGGAGAAGCCCATTTCCTGTTAGTCATCTCTTTTCTCTTCTTTTTATCAGAGAAATCATGGTCCCTAAGTTACAGACACACACAGTAACTTAAACCAAGTATAGTACCACCTTGTTCAAGGCTCTCTACATTCTGGACCTGCCCATTCTGCTGTCTGCTTGAGACTTACACTCAGGGGCCTGGGGTCGACTAAGCATGTTCATTGTCTAGAATTCATGTTCTCAACCTCAGAGACTAACTCCATGTCTCCTCAATTGCTTCAAATAGGAATGGAGCATCTCACTCTGCCATCCAATGATTAATCCAGCAACATATTTGGTGGTTCTTTCCTCCCAGGCATTTCTTCCATCTGTCTGCCTCTCTCTATCCTCACTGTCAACGTGCTTGCGTGAATGGCCATTGTGACCTGCTTAGTCCAGAACCACAGGACACCCTCTTACTGCTTTTCCTGCATCCATGCATGGCCTTTCCATCCATTTCTCTCTATGTGTCAGATAGTGATATTTCAAAATGCTAATTTTAATTTAAAACCTGCAGATGTTTTCTGGTTGTTGTTGTTATTTTTAGAATAAAGATCCAGACCTCTGATTTGGCTTTCAGACTTGACCCTTGTCTACCTCTCCAGCTATAATGCCAAGCTCTTCCCCATTGCCCTCTAAATCCTATTTATACTGCTCTCCTTTGATCCATTGAATGTTTCCCAATTTTTCTTCCTGTAGAGCCTTTGCAACAGTTCTTCTCACTGCTGGAGATTGCCGCTGCCTCAAATTTCAGCTCTCTACTCAAATGTCATTTCCACAGGCCTCCTTTCCTGTCCCTCACAAATGAACTTGACTGTACTCTGATGAGCCAGCAGCACATTCTGGCGTCCTGAAGAAGAGTCTCACCTGCTTACACAAGTATGTAACAAGCAGGGTCACGAGTCTCTTCTGTTCACGTATATCCCCACGGTAACTCAGGTTTCAACATTTCTAAGTGAAGAAATAAAGATATAATCAATGATGAACATTAAAGACTCTTAGTCAGCTTTTGGGTTGCTGTGACCAAACCTGAAAAAAAGAACCTAGAGAAGAGAAAGAAGAGCGCAGGCCCGGCCATGACCGACTTCAAATTGGGCATCGTGCGGCTCTGCCGGGTGGCCGGGAAGACCAAATACACTTTGATAGATGAACAAGACATCCCATTGGTGGAGAGCTACTCCTTTGAGGCCCGAATGGAAGTAGAAGCAGATGGAAATGGTGCTAAGATATCTGCATATGCCTTTGACAAAAACCGAGGAAGGGGATCAGGCAGGCTCCTTCATGAACTGTTGTGGGAGAGGCACAGGGGCAGCGTTGCTCCCGGCTTCCAGGTAGTGCACCTCAATGCTGTGACTGTGGACAACCGCCTGGACAACCTGCAGCTGGTGCCTCGGGGCTGGCGGCCCAAAGCTGAAGAGACCTCCAGACAAACCAGAGGGAGCGCAGGGTTGGACATCTGCGCCTCCGCCAGAGCAGTACTAACTCCAGAGATGGGAGTTCAAATCATTCCCACAGGGGTGAAAGGACCTCTTCCCAAAGGAACAGTAGGCTTATTATTGGGACGCAGCTCTTCTACTCTAAAAGGACTTATGATAAGTCCTGGGGTAATTGATCCCGATTATGAAGGTGAAATAAAAATTATAGCCAGTTCTCCAAAGGGTATATCAGTAATTTCACCAGGAGATAGAATAGCACAGTTACTAATAATACCCAGCCTACATGATAAATTTTCCAGTCGTGCTGTAGAAAGAGGTTCCAAGGGATTAGGCTCCACAGGTGTAGATTGGGCTATGCTGTCTTTAAATTTAGATTCTCACCCCATGTTAAAACTAAATATTCAAGGACATGAATTTAATGGGCTACTGGATACAGGTGCAGACCTTAGCATCATCTCTCGTCAAGAATGGCCAAAACATTGGCCATTACAACAAGCCACTCAAACGCTTCGAGGCCTAGGAGTGGCAACTAATCCCCATAGAAGTGCAATGGTATTAGATTGGAAGGATCCTGAAGGATGTGAAGGAACTATACAGCCATATGTATTGGATCATCTTCCTATAAATTTATGGGGACGAGATGTCCTAGATCAATTAGGTTTGACATTAACAAATACCATCAACCAAAATGCACCCACTATTATGACTAGACAAGGTTTTAGGAAAGGAAAAAGATTAGAAAAACAAGAACAAGGTATAGCAGCACCAATACAAATAGATCAAGGAACAGACAGACATGGGTTGGATTTTCAGAAAGGGCCACTGAGACAATAAAAATTACTTGGAAATCAGAAAGACCAGTATGGGTTCCTCAGTGGCCCCTGACTAAAGAAAAGATACAAGCAGCCCATGACCTGGTCAAACAACAATTAGCAGAAGGACATATACAACCTTCTGTATCTCCCCATAATACTCCCATTTTTGTCATCAAAAAGAAATCTGGTAAATGGAGATTATTGCAAGATTTAAGAGCCATTAATAATGAGATGGTTATTATGGGACCTGCTCAATCAGGTATTCCTCAGTTGTCTGCTTTGCCAAAAACCTGGTATGTTTTAGTTATAGATATTAAAGATTGTTTTTTTTTTCAATTCCAATTCATCCTGAGGATAGTCCACGTTTTGCATTTACTATCCCTGCACTGAATCATGAAGGTCCTGATCAGAGATATGAATGGAAAGTACTCCCTCAAGGGATGGCTAACAGCCCAACTATGTGTCAAATTTATGTTAACAAAGTAATCCAGCCACTTAGAAATCAAAATCCTGAACTACAAATATTTCACTATATGGATGATGTATTATTAGCACACAAAGATAAAAACACATTGCTAGAATGTTATGCCACACTTAAAAACTTATTAAAAAATTATAACCTAGAGATAGCAATAGATAAAGTACAATTACATTTTCCAATTAATTATTTAGGAGTTCTATTATCCTCAACCATGGTCCATCCACCAAAAATTCAAATACGAGTAGATCAACTCAAATCACTTAATGACTTTCAAAAGTTATTAGGAGACATAAATTGGATAAGGCCTTATTTAGGTATACCAACAGGAGAGTTGGGACCTTTATTTGATATCCTAAAAGGTCCATCAGATCCAAATTCACCCCGAATGTTAACGCCTAAAGCAAGAAAGGCATTAAAATCATTGAAACATATATGGAAAATATGCATTTGGATAGAATTGATATAAGTTTGCCTTTATTATTTATTGTACTACCAACAAAAAATATTCCTACAGGAGTATTTTGGCAAGAAGGTCCATTATTATGGATACATTTATCTTATTCTCCTAACACTATTCTTACTAGGTATCCTGAGGCTGTAGGACAATTAATACTCAAAGGAATAAAAGCAGCAAAGGGAGTGTTTGGAATTTCTCCCAATAAAATTATTACTCCATATACTATGAATCAAATTGATGAGTTAGCTAATGAGTTAAATACTTGGGCAATAATCATGTGCAAATCTAATGTTTCATTTGATAACCACTTACCATCTAATCCTTTATTGTCTTTTTGGTCATTGCATCCTGTAATTTTTCCAAAAATGACAAGAAAAACACCTATCATGAATGCTCCAAATATATTCACTGATGGGTCAAATAATGGTACAGCTGCAGTAGTTACCACTGATCAAACTTTTACATTTTTAGTACCCAAACAATCAGCTCAAAAGGTAGAGCTTAATGCAGTTTTACAAGCTTTTGTGATGTTTAAAGATTCTGTATTTAATTTATTTTCTGATAGTCAGTATGTAGTTAATGCTATAGTATCTCTTGAAGATGCTGGTAGGATTTCCCCTTCTTCTACTGTTTTCTCTTTGCTTTCCACTATACAAAGTCTAATATGGGACAGAAAAGATCCATTCTTTATAGGACATATCAGGGCACATACAGGATTGCCTGGAGCCCTTAGTTTGGGCAATGATTTAGCAGATAAAACTACACATGACATACATATTTTCTCTACACTAGAAGAAGCTATAAATTTTCATAAAAAGTTCCATGTCAATGCTAATACATTACAAAAGCGTTTTAAAATAACTAAGGAACAAGCTAGACAAATAATAAAACAATGTCAAAATTGTGTGACCTTTTTACCACAAGTTAATCTTGGAGTCAATTCTAGAGGATTGATACCTAACCATATTTGGCAGATGGACAGCACACACTTGCCAGAATTTGGAAAATTAAAATATTTGCATGGTACAGTTGATACTTCTTCTGGATTTTTGATGGGCTCCCTTCATGCCGGAGAAAAAACTAAAGATGTTATAGCTCATTGCTTACAAAATTTTGCCACTGTGGTTGTTCCAAAACAGTTAAAAACAGATAATGCCCCTGGTTATACTTCTACCTCTTTTAAACAATTTTGCTCAACATTTGGCATTACTCATATAACAGGAATCCCATACAATCCACAGGGACAAGGCATAGTTGAAAGAGCTCATCAAACTATTAAAATGTACTTATTAAAGCAAAAAGATGGAATTGGGAAGGGGTATATATTCCCCAAAGATAAACTTAAAATAACCCTTTTTACTCTAAACTTTTTAAATTTGGATTCATCAGGACTTAGTGCTGCGGAAAGGCATATGTGTCCAAAAAATGTGCATAAGCCCAAGGTACTTTGGAAGGATATTCTAACAGGACAATGGAAAGGTCCTGACCCAGTAATTGTCTGGAGTCGAGGGTCTGTTTGTGTGTTTCCACAGGGAGAACAGCAGCCGATTTGGATTCCAGAGAGATTAACCAAGGTCCTGACCCAGTGATTGTCTGGAGTCGGGGGTCTGTTTATGTGTTTCCACAGGGAGAACAGCAGCCGATTTGGATTCCAGAAAGATTAACTAAAGCGATTTCTACAGACCAAAAAGAAGATGATTTGGCTCAAATCCATAACAACTGATATCCAAAACTCCAGTTTGGCTATTCTTACATCTGCAACAGAACCAGGATGCTTTTTTCAATATCTATTTTATTATTGCCCTTTGCCATATCATGAAGTTCTATTTTGTTTTTTGAGCTCATACAGACCTAGGTTAATGTTTTGCTGATCAGTTCTATTTTTTGACTATAGAGTTTTTAAACATTGCAATGGAGATTTCACCTGTAAAAAGTTATAAGGCCTTTACTATAATGTTATGTGTTGTATGTATTCTATTATGTGTGCACACTTGTGTTTTGTGTTATATGTTTGAATGTATGTATGTCCATATATCATATATGATGAGCGCTCATGATAAAATGGATCCAAATATTTTTTTTTTCTCACGCGATTTATATGGTTTAATTTAAATTGGGTAAACAACTGTTGAGGATTGTTTTAATATGTAAACAAAAAAGAAGGTTAACAGATCTGTTTGTTTACTTTCACCTTTCCTTTTCATTATATTTAATAATTCTCTTAAAGATAATGTAAATTGTTAAGAAAATTGTTTTCTTTTAGTGCCTTCTGTAACGTTACATAATTTTTTCTTTAGCCATTATTGCCAGAATTCCTATCTTCATCCCAGTGCCGGTGAAGACAATGTAAATTGTTAAGAAAATTGTTTTCTTTTAGTGCCTTCTGGAATGTTACATAATTTTTTCTTTAGCCATTATTGCCAGAATTCCTATCTTCATCCCAGTGCTGGTGAAGTCAAAGATAAAACCAATCTACAGCTTCTACAATAGCCATCACTGAACTGCTTGCAGAACTTGCCTGGACACATTGTGAGCTCACCTGTATGCATTGTGAACTATCTGTTGGTGCAGCGACTTGTGGTAGTGTTGGGGTATTTTTGCTGATGATGTCATTGGTGGTACAATTTTTCCAAAAGGAGCCGTCAATTGGCTTGGTGTATCTTCCTCCCTTCTGCTTGTCATGATCGTCCAGCTAAAATTTGGGGGCCAACAGAGGTGAGGCAAAGAACCTCACCCCCCCGCTGGTACAAAGACCTCTCCACAGGTGTGGCTGTATACTGGACCGGTAGTCAGTGACGGGTAAGATCCAATTGCAATGGTACCAACCTAAGGACCATATGTACTATTGGACAACCTAAGGCAGGCACGGTCCCTAAGCCACATGCTTGTTGTTTAAACAGAGAGGGGGAGATGTTGAGAGCCACAGCGGAAGGGGCCCCAGCAAACTTCCAGCTGCCAGCAAACTTCCAGCTGCCGGCTGATGATTGGCTCACAGCGGCCCCAGCAACATCTAGCTGATTGGCTCCTCTGCGGTGATGCTCATTGGGCTGTTTCCCTGCCCTTTCAGACCACGGAGCTGCTCATTGGGGGACTTTTTTGGCTCCGCCCACGTGACCCAGCCAATTGGCCTCAAGAGCAGGAGGATTGTGGGAGGTGGGGAGAAGCTTGTGTGGGAGAGAGAGGCTTGTGGAAAGCCGGTGGTGGCAGTTAAGGCTCTGAGGGTTTTTCCTGAGAGGCTGTTTTGTTTGGCATG